TTGGACCCCCATAGTCATTTCCTATCCTGATTTATGACGTAAGGGATACATGGTCTCTCCACTTATTAAAAGGAACTACCTTCCATTAGCCCTTGACCCCTCACCTACAACAAGGTGCTCAATCTGTGCATGAGAATCACTGGAAGGGCTTGTGAAAACACATTTTGCACTGGGACACTCACAGCAGCCCTAGTCACAACAGCCAAAAGGTGGAGATGACCTAAATGTCCAACAACTCAGGACCAGATATACAACACATGGTCTAGTCTAATATTAGTCAGCCATAAGGAGGACTAAGTACGGAAACATACTATAATACAGATGAAACATGATGCTGAGTAAAAGAAGCCCGACACAAAGGGACAGCTATTGTATGTTTTCATTTATCTGGACAGGTCTGTAGAGACAGGAAGGAGATTAGTGACTGCACAGACCTGAGGGACAGAAGTGAAAACTAAAGGGTGTAGGGTTTTCTTTGTGAGGTAGAAAAATGTCTTAAAATTGATTGTGGTGAGGGCTGCTATACCAAACACTACTGAACTGTATACTTTAAATGGGTGAATTGCATCTCAATTGTTTCAAATAATTTAAAATGTACAGACATCTGAAAAACAAAACACTCCAAGAATCCCATATATTGCTGATTCAGAGTTTCTGATTCAGTAGATCTTGTGGGGAGTGGGGGCTGAGTATTTGCATTTCTAACAAGTTTTGAGGTGATGCTGCCGGTTCTGGGGATCACACTTTGAGAACAAGTGATCGCTAATATTCTTGTTAGTCTGGTTGCTGATAAAATCCAAGAAGTTTCTATTCATGTCTTCTGGATCTCTAGAAAACTACATTTCTTTTTCTGCTTTAAACTTTTCATATGGGGCTGGTCAAACTTAGCTTGAGAAAATGAAGTCTTTTGACTGAGGTTGATACCTTAACAAGTTCATTTATTTGTTGTACAGGGTTCAGACCCCTAGTGCTAGACACAGCCTGGAACAACTAAGATGGACTCAGCTGCGCCTGGAACAACTAAGATGGCTTCTTTCATATGCCTGCTGCCTCAAATAGGATGGTTGGAATGGCCTGCAAGTGGCTGAGCTTCTCTCTCCATGATTCACTAGTTTAGCTGGATCTCAAGAGCAGTCTTTGATTTTACTAGTGATAACTTTTTCTTGTGCACTATGCCCCACGTATATTCAAATGAATCTTTGGATGATTTATTTAATCATCAAAAGGACTGTTGGAGGTGGCTATTAGTATTAGACTTTATAGTAGACTAGTATGAAGCTCAGAAAGGAAAATGTCATGTCCAAGTTCACCAGCTAAGTAACTGGCAGGAACCAGTTAACTAACCAGCAGAAGAGGGCGACTGGCAGTCCAGTGTAGACCTCTTCTGCTCCTAGGCCATTTAGGTCAGTGGCCTAGGGTAGCCCCGATTTGATTTACAAGGCAGGAGAGTGGCTTTTAGATCAAGTTGACAGGCAAGTATGTATCTTCACGCCCAGTACCCTCACGCCCAGGACCCAGTATATTCCCTAGACTAATTTCTTGCTCTATGGCTGTGTAAAGCACAGTAGGTGGGGCCATTCTCTGATCAGCTGAGGACTCTATCTCCAAACTCAATTTTTTTCTCCCAATGTAAATTCCCAACCTAGTTTGGTAGTGGGCAATGGGCTGTTAAGGGTGCGGTGTAGTGTAAATGTGACATCATTCTCAGTCCTGCCAGGTGCATAAGCCTTTCAAAACAAACCTCATTGACCTAAGTGAATTTTTAATTAGTAGGATGTTTCCATTCAATCACCAAGTGTTTGCTGAGTGTCTATGTGTCATTCACTGGTCTAGGAGCTGGGACTCAGCAACCAACAAAGAAGTCACTCTCCAGCCTCAAGGAACTTGCTTTGGTACTGGAGGAGGAGGAAGGGAACATAAAATGCACAAAACACGTATCAGGTGGTGGTAAATGCAAGGAAGGAAAGTAAAAGAAGAATGATTAGGTGATGAAAGGGTGCTATTTTCCACTGTGTAGTCAGAGAAAGCCTCTCAGAAGGTGATTCTTGAGACATGCAAGTACCCAAGAATCAAGAACTCTAGGCCAAAAGAACAGCAGGGCATCCAATTAAATGAAATGGAGGGAGTGAAGGGAAAGTTGTATACGAGGTCGACATAGAACTGAAAGGAGAGCCTGGAGGCCATGGAAAAGACACTAGGTTTTATCTGAAGTGAGAGGGGAAGCCATTAGAGTTCTGTGTGGTCACATGATCTGCTTTATGATTTTTAAAGGACTGTCTTGGCTGTTGTATGAGGAAAAGGGTAGAAGCAAGGAGACTGATTAATAAGTTATTGCAGTAATCCTGGGGATGATGGCTTGGAATAGAATGGAAACTGCAGTGGGAATGGTGATGAGAAGTTTGCTTTGGATGTATTTCACGAGAACTGACTGAATTTGCCAATGGATTGGATGTGGATGTGAGAGAGACAAGGCAAGAATGCCTCCAAGGTTTTTGGCATGAGAAGTCAGAACAACAGATATTTACTGAGGTAGAAAAGAAAAAGGAGAGGAAAATTTTGGGGAAAATTGATAGTTCATCTTGGGACGTATTAAGCTTGAGATGCTTATTAAACATTCAAGCAGGATGTTGAATACAGCTGGATGTGAGTCTGGAATACAAAGAAGTTGGGCTAGAGACATACATTGGAGAGTCATCAGTGTATAGATGGTATTTTTATACACAAAAATGGATGAGATCATTCAGGAAATGAATGTAGATTAGAAAAGTCCAAAGTTGAGAGCCCTCAAGGTCTCTACTACCCAGAAGTCAAGAGCATAAGTAACACTCAGAAAATGAGACTGAAAAGAAGTAAATTTTTTACTAAATGATATTGGATCAGTCGGACATCCATATGCAAAAAATGTTCTTCAAGCCGTATCTTGCATCATATAAAGGGTTAACTCAAAACGGAACATAAATCTGAATGGAAAGCCTAAAACCATAAAGCTTTCAGAGGAAAAAAAAATGATACAAATCTTTGTGACCTTAGAATGGACATTCTTAAATAGGATACCAATTACACAATCATTAAAGAAAAAATAAGTATCATCCAAATTAAAGCTCTCTTCTTCCAAAAACTATCAGGAGACAGTTTAAGGAAAAGACAAGCCACAAATTTTGCAAATCATGTATCTGGTAAAGGAACTGCATCCAGAATGTCAGAACAATTAGTAAATTTCAGTTAAGACAACAACCAATCTAGTGAAAAATGGGCAAAATATTTGAATATGCATTTTACCAAAGAAGATATATGGATTGCAAACAGGCACAAGAAAAGATGCTCAACATCTTTAATCACTGAGAAAATGCAAATTAAAATCAAAAGAAAGCACCACACACTCATTAAAGACGGCTACAATTTAAAAAATAGTTCAATGCATGACTATCATGTGAGGTGGTCATTCCAGTCCTAGGTATTTCTCCAAGAGGTCTAAAAACATGACCACACAAAGATTTGTATACAAAAACTCATGCTGGGCCTCTCTGGTGGTGCAAGGGGTTAAGACGCAACCTATGAAGCAATCTGCAGCCTCTGCAACACAAGTTCGATCCCTGGCCATGGAGCTACCCCTATGGTGCAGCAGACCTCTCTGTCTCGCCCGCTGCTCCCCTCAGCAGTGTGTTTCAGTCAGTGTATTTCAGTGTATTTCAGTCAGTCTCCTTGCTGTTCCCCGCTCTGTCTCTGTGAATCCTCACCCCACAAACCTCCGGCCTGTACCCCAGTTCTTGTATGCATAAATAAATAAATCTTTAAAAAAAACAAAACTCATGCCAACTTTATTTATAATTACCAAAACTTGGAAGTTTTTTTACCTATCCATGAATGGATAAACAAATTGTGGTATAAGCCATACAATGGATTAGTTTTCAACAATAAAAAGGAATGAACTACGATTGATACATACCACATGGGTGAACATCAAGATGATGCTGAGTGAAAGGAATCAAAAAATGAATACATCCTGTGTGATCCCATTTAGGTAACACTCTAGGAAATGTAAATTAATCTATAGAGACAGAAAACAAAATAGATCAGTGTTTGGGAAAGGTGGGAGGGACGGGCTGGCAGGGGGACTGGGAAACTGCATGAAATAGAAACATGAGGAAACTCTTAAGGGACATGGCTGTGTTCAACGTCTACTGTAGTGATGGTTTTAAGGACAGATGCACATTGTCAGCATTTACCAAGTTGCCTATTTTAAACCTATGCAGTTTATTTGCTATTAATTTTTTTAAAGATTTATTTATTTATGCATACAAGAGCTGGGGCACAGGCCAGAGGTGTGGGGGGGTGAGAGGATTCACCAGAGACAGAGTGGGGAGCATAACAGGCAGATTGATCAAAGTACACTGCTGAGGAGAGCAGCAGACGAGTCAGGAGAGGTCTGCTGCACCATGTGGGTAGCTCCCTGGCCGGCCAGGGATCGAACTTGTGCTGCAGAAGCCATGGATTGCTTCATAGTGTGGTGCTTAACCCCTTGCACCACCAGGGAGACCCTTCACAGGTTGCATCTTAACTGTTTGCGCTACCAGGGAGGCCTTATTCGATATCAAATATACCTCAATAAACAAAGGAAAAGACCGGGAAGGGAGAAAAGCATAGACAGGGAATACAGACAAGCTTTCTTTTTTTTTTTTTTTTTTTAGAGGCATGTTTTTTTTTTATTTATTTATTATATTTGTTTGTTTGTTTTGTTTATACATGCACTGGGTACAGTCAGAAGCGCGGGAGGGTGAGAGAATTCACCAGAGCCAGAGCGGGGAGCAGAGCAGGCAGAAGGACCGAAGTACACTGCTGAGGGGAGCAGCGGGCGGCAGGAGAGGTCTGCGCGCCATGTGGGATCCTCCTCCGGTGGCCGGGGAGCAGCCGGGGATCGAACCAGCGCCGCAGAGGCCGCGGGCAGCTTCGCAACCCAGCACTCAACCGCTGCGCCACCGGGGAGGCCCACAGACAAGCTTTCTTGAGGAGTTAGGCTGTAATGAGAAAAGGTGAAAGGGAACTGGGGCTGGAAAGGGATAGGAGGGGCAACTTATCTTCGCAAGATGGAAGACACTACCTCATGTTTGGTTACTGTGGGAATAACCAGTAGGGAGGGGATTTGATAATGTGGGACAGAGAGAGGTCCAGTGCAGACGTGAGGTCTTTGAGAGGATCAGAGGAGCTGGGATCCAGCATGTCCTTGAGCCAGAGTGGCAGGTACCTGGAGAGCATGTGCACGAGATGTAGGTGGAGGCTGGGGAAGGACTCTCTTAACTATGTCTTTTTTCCCAGTAAAATCAAAAGGAAGGTCATCAGCCAAGAGTGGAGAAGGGGAAGAGGTTTTGGAGGTTTAGGATTAGAGGGAAATTGTGAAAGAGTTGTCTTGGAGAGCAGGAGAGAGTAAAAGTAGGAAGCAGCACCCAAGTACCACTAGAGGCCGAGGTCATGACTTCTCTAGTGAGGTTCATCGCTAGGTTGGATGTTTTTCTTCCTGCACATCCTGCCGCTAAGGTGCTGCTAACCTGCCTGAAGAGTAGGCCCTGTTGTCAGACTTGGGGCCCTCCAGATGTCTTACTGGCCTTCATCAAAATCCTGTTTTTCTCCCCCTAACTCTCTCTCCTTGGTGCTTTTCCTTAACATTAATCCCTATGGAGGGGACTGCGGTGCTTGCTGTCTCTCTGCAGTATGTCTAGAACTTAGAGCAGAGCTGATACTGCAGGGGTTGCAGGGACAAAGTCCGCGAGGACCTCTCTTCACCTACCACATAACAGAACTGCACCTATCTACAACCTACATATCTGTGCCAGTTTCTTCTTTGCCCCCCTCCCCAGTGTCACAAGCAACATATGACACCTATGGGCACTTCACTCTCTGGCACTGGGTTTGGAGCCAGTGGGGACCACCAGGAGGGGTCCAGAGAGGTGGAGAGTGAGGTGGCAGAATTTATTATCCTGGCTGGTTGCATGTGTCAAATGAAGGTCAGAAACCTGCTGCATCCCCTTCCCTCCTCCCTTCAGGGTGAGGAGTAGGAACGCGTCCATTACCAAGCTCAGGCAAACCATCCCCTTGTGGTTTCCTTACACCCTATCCTGGCTATGCAGATCCCCCTCTCATTAAATCCCCCTAGATTATCCTCATTTGTGTGCACCATCTGTTTCCTGCTGGGATGCTGACAGAATCCCTCTCTGTGAATAATGGTTTTAATAACTCTCTGAATTCCATTAGAGCCTTGCTCCTCAAATGTGGCCAGGGGCCAGCACCTGGGAGTTGTCAGAGATGCAGAATCTCAGGTCTTACCCTAGACCGCTGAATCGCAACTGGCATGTCTAAAACATACTTAGTGCGACCCAGGCACACTGAAGTGTACGAAGCACTACGCTTGACTGTTCTGGAGTCTTACTGAAGTTCTTTAAGGTACCGAAAACCCCAAAGACAGACAGGCCCAGGCAATGGAGTCTCAAACTCAGGCAGTAAAGGAGACAGACTGCAGGAGAAATTTAAGAGGAGGATTTATGGGGAGAGGAAGTCTCAGGGAGAGGACCTAGAGGGTCAGGGAGCTCAACAGCCGGAGCCTGCAGGTCTTGGCCGCCCCAACTTGGCCAAGCTCCATGGATTTGTTTCACATTCCACGAGCAAGTGGGCCCTTCACCATTTACTCTTAACCTCTGCCCACAGTACTTGCTTCCTGGTCTGGCTCATAATCTTAGTTTGCTGATTACCTACAGTTTCCGAGCATGTTATTTGCCTGATTTGTCCCTGTTTGAGCAGAGCTTTCTGCACCAGCCTTTCTCTCAAAGACTAATGGCCAGGCTTTGTGTAGCGGCCAATTCCTGATTCAGCAGGCACAGGCACAGGGTTATATGGTATAAAACATGTCTGCCCTGGGCTGCCTGCTCAGCAGGGGCTGGGAAAGAAAATCACACTATGATTAGACGTCTAATTAAAATGATCTGGGAAGATAGGAAACTGTTTTCAAACCATGGTTACAAGTTCCTTTCCTTTTACCTCCACTAGCACTTCCCCAGGCTGCTTCCTCCCCATACTTCCCAGAACATCTGCATCCTCTGGCAGGCTCTGCCAGGCATGGAGATGACTTTCCATGCCCAGGGTAGTTCCAATGTTGTGTAACAAAATTAATTACATTTAATTAAACGTATCCATTTTTTATAGCCCCAAACAAATCTAAAATGCCATGTTAAGCTTATGAGATGGCAGTCCTCCAGCAGATCCTGCTGCTGTGTGACTCTGCTCTCAGAGACCTACGCAATTTTAGGGATCACTTTACACCAGTGAGTCTGACGAATGGCTTCTCGGCCATGGAGAAGCATCATGAAGAATGAGTCTTTGGGTCCAAGGCCAGCAACGCCCTATGTCCTGCCTCCTATCTGCTCGCCTGCAATAGCCTCTGCACTCAAGATGATAATCTTCCCCTTCTCATCTTTTTTCAAATTAACAATTTGCTTCTCTTTCCCTGACAATGGGGGCTACAGGGGAGGGAATTATTTGTATTTCTCACAAGTACCGAGCCCGGCATACGTAATTGCTGAATTTATCATTTATTGAATGAACAAACATTCTCGCTCATGGTTATGAGTTTCTCTCTTGTGTAGTCATCAGGAGACAACGGAGGTGGGGAGCTACAGAAATGGCTGCTAGAGGCCCCAGATCCACATCCCTGCTTCCTTCAGTCCCTGCGAGTAAAGAATTTCTTTCATCTTCTGTATATCACTCTGAGGAAAAAAGGTCTCACTGTCCCTTCCAGAGAATTAGGCCCACCATTAGGCGAATCTCTGTGTTTGTGGCTACTTTCACTGGCCCGAGTTGTTGTCCAGCCCTGATGTGAGAGGTGAAAGATCTAGGAAACATGGTCCCACACGCCACGGCAAAACACAATGGGTAGCCAAACCAGTAACTGATTTGGTCCATTTAAATATATATATTAGTTACTTGAGTTTTCTATCAACATTATTCTGATGTATTAGTTTTCAAAATAAACTAAAATTGTCAACAATATATACATTTGTCAAGAGCCACTCAGTTCCAGAGACAGAATACAGTTCAAACTAGCTTATGACCCAAAGGCATATTATTCAATGTTTACATATACAGGGTAATTCAACTGATGTAATTCCTTTCTTTGGTTAGGAAAAAACATCCGCAGCGGCCTAAGAACATTCAATGGTAAATCTTCTCACAGACGCCTATATCTTTCTGGCCTTTGAATACAAGGTCCAGAGACCCTTTACCAGAAACTTCCAAAATCTTCCCAGGTTGTAATGCTCTGAATTCCTTTCTTATTTTCCCTATTAGAGGCATTCTTCCCTTTACAGCCATTTCTTCTAGTTCTCAATTCCTTCACTTTATGTCCTTTCTACCAGAGATGATGTGACATATTGATAATATGAGGGACCTTTAAAAACTGTCTTGGTTTATTACTGTCCATTTACTCATTTAGTAAGTATTTACTTTTTTTTTTTTTTAATGCAAGAGCTGGGGTATAGGCCAGAGGCATGGGAGGGCGAGAGGACTCATAAGAGACAGAGCAGGGAACAGAACAGGCAGACTGACTGAAATACACAGCTGAGGGGAGCAGCGGGCGCGACAGGAGAGGTCTGCCATGTCATGTGGGTATCTCCCTGGCCGGCTTACTGGGAACCTATCACAGCACAAGTGCTATGTCTGGCTATGCGGATGCCCAAGATAGAAAACACAAGTCAGTTTGCTCCCAAGAAACGAGTCACATGTAAAGGGCTCATAAACAAGTGTTACATCTGCATGGTAAGCACTATAACAGGAATCACACAGGTCAGCCATGAAGACAATTCTAGAGAATTCCAGAGAAACGTGAACTGGAAGCACAGTGACGGTTAGATCACTGCAATAGTTACAGCAGGTGACGAGGGAGATCTGAATTCCACGACAACGGAAGAAACAATGGCTGAGGGAATCATCACAGAAGAGAAATCCAGAGGAGCAGTGAGTGAAGGGAGGGAAAGAGAAGGGCAGGGTTGCCACATTCTGGCTTTCATGACTGGTGGTGTCAGTGCTGCTCATAAGAAAATGGATGTAAAAGGAGAAACTTTCCAAAAAGGGGCTTGGGGCTGAGGTAGAAGTGTCTGTGAGAGGGGCGAGGCTAACCACCCCTTTCTTGGGTTCATGAGTGATCTGTACCTTTACTGAAAATGATTGTTTGTGCCTAGAGTGGGAAGTGGGAAAGGGAGAGAGTAGCGAGAGGGTGACAAATCCATGATAAAGTCAGTTATTTCACACCAAGGCCCAGCTTTTTTTCTTTATAAAGAACCTGACGTGTATTTGTAACCAAAGAGGTTTCTTTGTATTTGGCTTTTTGCTCGAGGAGCCTGTTCTGGGTGCCTGCTGATCAAGGCACTTGCAGAAGATCTACAGTCAGTGAGGGGCTTGCCAAGAGACTGGGTTTTAGGTCACAAAGTCTTCAGATTCAGGACTTCTATAGGTTTTATTCAAGGTTAGCAAAGCTGTTTAAGTTAGATGCTAACTGAAGAACTGGAAAAATTCACTTCTTAGGAATGGGCCAACTGTTTTAATGTTAAGAATCTTTCCTTAAGCGTGCTCTCATATCACTAGACACAATGAAACCATTAATATTTTATTTTATAGGAACTATGTTTATTAATGATCATCTCAATGAAAAAATACTCATTCTTCCTCAGGGTTGGTCCATCACCATCTGTCTCTTTAGAGATGTTAAACACATCCCAAGTGTGAGCAGTCTGGTTTAACAGCATATAGAAACCTCTGTATGGTACGCAAGACAGGAATTTCTAACAATGAAACAAGATCTTCAGAACTTCTCAGTAAAACAGAGGAAGCATTTCTGAAAATAAGATGTAGGAACTTGTGTATAAGATCTAACAGAGAACATGCCAGAAAATGGGGCTGGGAAATGTCAGAATCCACCCTCACCCTGAGTTCTCTCTGGGAAGGCACACGCATGTCCTGCAAGGGCTTCGAGAACCATTGCTTCTTTGGGGAGCGTGCGTTTAGGCCACGGGACTCAGGTTACCTGAGTGACCCAAAGCTACTGTTTCTTCACTTTTTTGTCCATATAATTTTCAATTTCTTATCCACGAGCAGAAGTTTCAAGGAGAAGAGCAGAAAGTATTTAACTTTGACTTTTGAGCAGATGTAACACCAGCTCTTCATCCTCAGCTAAAGACAGGCCCGTATCCAGAGGCTCTAGGTTTTCCCACTTGGTCTTCTTTCTATTACGGCTTGTGTGTCCCACGTCTTCCACGTCACTGTTGTGCCTTTTTCTCATTGCCTGCTTCTTCATGGTATCACTGGTGGGAACAAATCCAATGATTTACTTTATAAATAAATTGTTATGAAATCAAACACTTAAAATAAGACAAAAATACCAATAACAAATAGCTGGTAATGTTTTTATTCAAGGAAAGAAACTGCAACAAACATCAGGATGTCTGGGTCGCAAGCAAGCACCTTCCCATTAAAGAGGAGACACGGTTTGTTATGCACCATGCGCTGTGCACACACTGTCTCATCCAATCCGCACTCTCATTCCAGGAGGCTAGAGCCACATTATCTACCACTTAAAGGCACTGAGAAGCCTACAGTCCAGCTCCAGAGTGTCTCTAACCTCTGCCTGTCTTACCACTTCAAACCACCTCCATTTTAAAGCTGGTCTCTAGTAAGTAGCAGTCTGTGAACCAGCTGATACCAGGATGCCAGGAACTGATCCTACTATCTGTTGTACTGAGTTGTGATATAGAGATTACAAGTAAAACAGAACTTGAACAGTTCAATTACAAATTTTTTAAGATGTCAAATTATTCTCACTTAAAATCCGTATGTACGAAACATACAAAATATTAGTAAACTAAACATTATTGCAGGATTCTGCACACACCTGAGGCACAGACCATAAAAATAAAGTTTATTTCTGAAGGTGGCTTTTCTGAAGAAAAAGCCAAACATCCTCAAAGCCTTTTAAGATAGCATTATGTTCAAACATGACCCAATGACTGGGTCAAGACGCCAGATTCAAATGAAACCCGCCCAACAGCAATGCCACTGCAGCCATTTCCATGAGCTCCATCAGGGTCTGGCAGTGTCCTCAGGCTTCACACCAGGGACGTCAGTTATCTTGGTGAAAGCCCTGGATGTTAGGAGCATTAGCCTCATCTACCGTCAGGTTGAGAGAAGTCAAATGATTGGACCCAGATCACACACATGGGATTGGAATGATTCAGTTCCCAGTCAGGTCAGTGAAAGCAATCTTAGTTGACACACTTCAGTCAACAATTGGATGACAGTAACAAAAAGAGTCAGCTTCGAAAGAGCATTGACTTCAAGACAGTCAGACTTTGGCTGAGGAACATTTCTAAGCTTCAGTATCCTTCTCTGTAAAGATGGGATCTATGTCATTTATTTATTTAACAGAACAGCTCTAAGAATGAAATTATATAAATTTAGTTTCTTGTCTATAAATAATCCCCTTTAAAATAAATTCTTACATTGATATATAATAAGCAGCAAAAAAAAAAAAATCACAGAAATATTGCATTATATTCCAAACACATCATATCTTCCAAAGGACAATAAACTGGTCAAGTTCCAGCAGATCCTATTCCTCTGTGCACGAGAGCCTGGGTCACTAGGGCTGTGCCTGATCAGCACTTAGGATCTGCCTGAAGCAGCCTGTTAACAATTCTCTATCATGCTCCAGAAATGCCAGAGCTTGGCTTGGTACTAATTCTCTCTCATCACTGAAGGAAAGACAAACCAGACAATACTACGACATTAGTTAGCTACACAAATAACTGCATTTTAAGAGTGCCTGGAGAGAGAAACGTGAAAATTCCTGTGGAAAAGAGTCTTGAAAAAAGTAATGAGTCCTAACCTGTTCATGAATACGGTTGGTCTTGGTGTCAATTCTGCCGGGCTACAGTGAGTGCCATGATTTACTCAGTACAAGGTAACAGTGATTTCTGTCCCGCTGATACTTCAAGAGCACCTCAGAGCAGCTCATCAGAAAACATACTAATTAGTGGGCTTGACTAACATGTCCATTAACATGCTCCTGCACATTATTTTGCCTCCAGGAAATAACTTCTTCAGATAACAAGAGAGACGAGAAATTTATGTAGCCCCGAAAGTTTCTCACTAGCAGCCTGGCTTCTTTGTGGACAAGTTCAAATTCTAGAAAGGTATTTTACTCTATTTTTCCATAGTAAATAGTGGTAGTTCTATTTACTAGTGGTAATAAACTATTAAAAAATAGTATATACAGCCTATAGGTAGATCACCCAAAAGAGGAATAATGTAATGAATTTATAAAATAATTAGTAAGTAGAATATAAAATAGTCACAATTTGATCTCTTCAGAAAAGGCCTCATCTAAGTGGGTGGCATCAGACAGCAACATCTGCAATCTGGCTGAATGAGATGTCCCTCATCTTCTTAATGACACGTGGCTTCCACCCCATGGACAAAAGTGCCTTTGTGGGAGCTGTGATAACTAGCACCACATGCCAAACGACCAGGGTGGAGTCTCTTTCAACCAGGCATTGGGTAATGTAATTGGCACGAAGACCTCAGACCCAGTTTGAGTTCCCCTTGCCTGTGGGAGAATAATGTCTTACACAATCACCCACAAACGAGAGCAATTCCAGAAGTCCAGGTTTCCAGTGGTGAAGTTCCAGCATGCTGATAGAGCAGAAAAAAGCAAGTGCAAAAAAAAGGCATGGCGAAAGTCATACAAACACTTTTGACTTTGCTCACCTCTGCTGTCCCCCAAGGTGGCATAGCTCAGGGCCAAGAAAAAAGTTAGAGGTTGTGAGGACGTGTACAACTTGCCCAGCTGTGTGTAACATGACCAAGGAGGCCCATTTCTGTCTCATCCCATCCAGAGTGCGAAATTGTGAGCTGCATGCTGCATGACCAGGAGACAAGAAGAGACTGGGACAGTGGTAGATAGGGCTCTCAGAGGGCATTAAAAGGACCAAGTCTATTTACTGCATCATGGATTCCATCAAGATGCTTCCCTATAATGCACTGGGGATGCCTCATATGGCTGTCTCCAAATAGTCTACTGGGGCTCCTGGGCTGATTCTGTGGTCAGCTCCCTGTGTTTGTTCTGGATAGCAGTGGTGAGACTGTGTTTTGGCAGGTGGCTAGAGCACAAACTGAATCTGTGGTTCAGCAAAGACCCAAAACTTCACCTTTAGTGCCACCCTTGGGAAAGCAAAAGGGAGGTGGTCAGCATTCAAGGCATATAAACTTTCTGCCCTAAGAGACAGCAAGAAGCATGGAAAAGATGTATCCATAAATCCGCGAAAGCCTCAGAATGCCTAGCAGGGCTGACAGAAGGTATTTCACTCCCAAATAACATTAGCAAAAGCTGGAGGAAGTGACTGCTACTACAATGTGCTGACAGCAACACAAAACTTCAAGGAAGATGAAAATATCAAGCAAATAAGAGGCCAACAAAGGATCACAATAATCTTTTAGTAGCCAATCTCAGAGACATGAAGATCTTCAATTTAACATATTAAGAATCCAAAATAGTTATTTCAAGGTTCATAAAATACAAGAAAGCAAAGCAAAGGCAACAAAATCAGGAAAGCAATGTGTGAATAAAACAAGAAATTTAACCAAGAGAAATAATAAGAATCTAAAAATTCTGGAGATAATACAAAGAATGAGATGAAACACACAAGACAGGATAAAGAACAAAATGGAATGAGCTGAAGAAAGTACCTGTAAGTTAGAAAACAGGAATTCTGAATTTATCCACTAAAAGGAGAGCAAAGGAAAAAGAATGAAAAAGGATGAGAAAGTCTACCTGAACTATGACATCTATGAAAATGAAGGAACTTGCAAATTATTGGAATCACAGAAGAGAGGAAGGAGGAGGCAGAAAGCTTATCTACAGAAATCATATCTGAGACCTTCCCAAATCTGGGGACAGATTTATACATCCAAGTTCATGAAGCTTACAGGTCCCCAAACAAACTCAACTCTGTCAAAAATCAAAGACACAGACAAACAAAGAATGGAATGATATACCCAGGGAGGTGGGGGGGTGGGAACCTTGTTAACCAAGAATATTCTATACAGCAAAGTTATCCTTCAGAAATGGAGAGATAAAGGCTATTCCAGACAAAAGCTGAGTCAATCACTATCACACTAGCATTACAAAGAATCCAAGAAAGAATTCAAGTTGAAATGAAAGGCTGCAAATTAGTACAGGAAAATAACCAATACACTGGTATAGATAAGTACATAGTTGAATTCAGAATTTGCTAAATGTGTAACATGGTGGAGCGCTCACCACTTAACTTTATTAATGTTCATGGGGAGCTTACTGGATCCAATTAAGAACTGGGACTGCAATAATTCAGAGCTGCCAATCTTTTAATAATCCAAATAATGAAAGAGGTTTCTGGTGTTTTAAAGAATAAGTCATACAACAAAACACCAAGGAAAAATATCAGACTGTAATATGTAATCTGGACCAACAATAAGAGGAAAATCCTACTTGGTGACTTAAGTTTTGGTGAAAATGGCTCCATAAAAACTATGAAATATTTGATCCGATTTATTCATAGCCAATAATTAAAGAAAAAAGATCTAACATTGGAAGGTGAATTCAATTTTTACATCTTAATCGCTGAGATTTTTAAATGGAATGTAACTTTCCTACTTTATCAATTTTCTGAACCCACACCTCAAATTCTTCAGAAATTAGGCTGATTTTTTTTCTGATAGGTTTGATTTCCTGCTTTCAACGTTTTAATTTCTTCAGGTGCTTGTTACCTAGCCACCCAGAGTAAGAAAGTAGTCTGTTAGCTTAGGAGACACAGAAGCAGAGGAAGACCTGGTGTTCACACTCAAGGGTCAGCCTTCCTCTTGGCACTCCTTACATGTAGCCCGGCTCTGAGATCACACACACGGCCATGTGTTCGCATCTGGTTCCTCTGTGAATGTAGCACTTCTCCTGCCTTAAGACCCAGTTTCAATTCCTCCTCTTCCATGAACGGTACCCAAAAGGAAAGTGATCTCCCCACTCCCCCCAGTCCCTACAGCTCAAATTGTTTTTTAGTGATTTTTGCACCTAGCACTGCTACTTTCTAGTAACGAAGTAATTTTTCCCCCCACCTATAATATATGTTAGCCATGAGAATGTAAAGTCCTGGGTATGGGAAGGTAAATTACTACAATCACTGAGCATGATTTGAAAGCACTTCTCAAAAATCTTTCAAGTATGCATGCCCAGCAAATTCTCTTCTGGGAATTTAGCCCAAGGAAATTAGGGATA